CATTATCTAAACAGACCGGGGGCCACATTTAGCTTCGCCGCCCCGCACAGTGCTTCGAACATATTACGTAGTTAGAGGACAAAGGCTGGCTCTAGAGGACAAAAATCCAAAACTTCTCTTTTATTGTAAGCAATTTATTCAAACTAGGTTTATTTGACACAAATGATGAGTACTCTCATTGTACTAAATGATGATGTTCTTAGTCCCACGTTTATGAAAAAAAAATCTTATAAATAATAATAATGTTGGAGCTGTGTTCCATCTAAGCAAATAATAAGTTATAGTATGAAAACGGTGTAAGTATTAAATAAATTCCTGTGATAAAAAAAAATTGAAATAACATTAGAACATGATTCCTACAATATAAGCCTAATATAAAATAAAAATGTTTTTCTTTTATGAAAAAAAAAAAACATTAATGTTATATTTAATTAAAAAAAAACTTGAGATACTATAAATTTACTTTAGGACAACAAAATGCACAGATCGTAACTACTCTGATTCAGGAGAATTACTGCTGACAGAATCTTCCAAATTTATAGTATCCAAATCACAGGTAGATGAACTATCCTCACATATAAGATATTTCTGTACATCATTTTTTAATATGTTACTTTTTCGCGTTGTTACTGTTCATTTTGTCGGTATGAGGGGTTCGGATGTTAATAGTTACCTCTTTAATAGACCATATTCATATATTGTTTTTTCCTTTTCTTGGGCATGAGATTTTATAATAAATTGAAAGATGGACACTTTTTTTATGCGACGTTTCGCTCCAACATAGTGGACTTTTTCAGGTGTCTCATTTGACTGGAAGGTTCATCAATATCTAATAAGAACATATATTTTGAAATACAAATAATTTTGAGTTCTTGTCCTTATGATCAAGCCAAGTATTAGCCAGATCGGCATTGCTTATCAATTTTACTCCATCTGAAAAGTATTATAAAATAAAGTTCGTCGCAAGCAGACGCAGGTGAACTATACAAAAATTAAAAGTGTATGAATATGGCAACAAAAATATTCAATAAATACGATATGTTTTGATATGTTTTTTTTAAATGCCTTTTTGAAGTTTGAAAACGTAAAATTTTTATACCCATTTAAGAATCGTCTTAAAAAATAAATAAAAACTAAACACTCACGAACTTGTTTAGAAATAAATTTAAAGTACATACCTTGTTTAACAATATCCATAGTGGCTTTCAATTAAGTACGTACCCGTTTAACTCCATAATATACAGAACTACTATGAATGTTATTCTTTTCACTAAAGAGATAATGATCGCAAAATTTATTTTTAGTGAAAATATTTGCTAACAAAAACGCTGTTTATGAAAAATAATATACAGGATGGTTGAACATTGCTATAAGTATAAAATTATATATTCAGATATTAGTAAATTTTAACTTATTTTTTGATTTTTGTCCATGGGACGAAGCACTGTGCTCCGGGCCTCCGACAGGCTTAGTCCGCCACTGATTGTGTATGTATACCGTGTGGTGCATCTGAACACGGAACCTAGGAAATTCCATGTAAATTTTGAAAAGGTTAAATATTATCTCCCCAGATAATTTTATGCAAAAGTTGTATTATACTTTTTTGAAGAGGCGTTAAAGTTGTACTTTCGTCTAAAATTTCGTTTTTAAATGTTATTTGCAAAAAGCTACGTTGAAATTACTAAAAATTGATAATACGGCCCAGAGAAATTGAAATACCAGCAAAAATATGATTTTGTCTTTGTCAAATTCGATGACACATTTTAATTACAAGAATTTGTGTAGTTTGGGGGAATGGTTAATTTAGGTGGTTAATTTTACCTGAATTTGAATGATCATCTACAAAAGAATTAGTTGAACTGGGAATAGAATTCGCGGTGTATGATTTGTTTGCTGTTCATTACTCGATCACTCGCAGGCCTAGCTCATACCACATACATTCACAATAATTTGAGAAATAATCGAAATATTTGTTACTAAAAGAACTATATTAAACAACTATACTAAGTAATGTTTACATAATGCCCCATTCACAGCCAAACAATACTCCAAATGATTGTAAAATTTACGCATCACAATACAAAGCTGTTAAGGGGAAATCTTTAGCATTCCACAGAGATGTCGTTTCTATTTCATCTAAATTTCTGTATTTAGTATGTGCTCGTAAAGACGGTTTTTGAGTGTGCTTACAGGAAGAAGTCGTTCGGCGAAAGATCATGTTCTTTCTTTCATGACCCAAGAAGGTCTTTTCCTACTCTATCCTTAATAAAACATGAAGAAGAATATTGAAAATTGAAATTATTGTTGTTTTCTTCCTGTTCGTTATTTTTGTCTTCACACTTTCATGTGCTTAATACCATGCCTTTAATTTTAAACCTCTGGTTTATTCTTTAAACTGTTGACTTAGTATAGGACTCTCCAGAGACTGAGCTGACACAGCCGGTATACTATTTCCAGGAAAATACCGTTTAACTATCGTAATTTTTTCAAAGGTTGCGAGAATCATAATTATTTTATACAAAATTACTCTATTTTGTACCAATTTTGCACCTTCAAATGCACCAACAAATTGTGACATCGAATTTGACAATGACAAAATCACATTTTTGCTGGTATTTTAATTGTAGCTTTCTCTGGGCCGTATTATAAATTTTACGAATTTGAAGGTAGATTTTTGCAAATAACTTTAAGTGCCGATTCCATATGAATTTAGAATTAGAATTTAGAATGAGTGGGAGGGGGGTTAATCCCTTCGACCTTACAGATCCATTGTGTCCCCCTTTCTTGAATCATAACCTCATCATACAGTCCCAGGGCTTTGACAAAAGCCAGTATCTGGGATGGTTTTATAGAGGGTAGTTCTCCATCTCCAATATCAGTCGTACCAAAATTCATGGCACGAATGGTTGTCGTCTCGGCGCACTCAGTGATGAGGTGTACTGGTGTTGCACCATCTTCCCCACAGAATCTGCATTTGCCGTTTCTTCTTAGTTTCAATCTACTGAGGTGTTCATTGAGGAGACAGTGTCCTGTTAAAAACCCCGTGACAATCCGAAGATTGTTCTTACTCAGACCCAGGAAGATCTGTGTTTTTTCTTGATCATAAGCCCTCAGAAACTTCTTCGAGTGTCCTAGACCATTGCAAGATTTCCATTCCAGGTTGCGGATGGAATCTTCCAAGTTCTTGAGTTCCGCCTTGAGTTGGTTACCACTTGGAAAGCAGAACGGTTCTGGTCCAGTTAATGGAGTGTTCGCTCCTTTCCTAGCTAGATTATTTGCTTTTTCATTGCCTTCTATCCCTTGGTGAGCAGGCACCCAGTGTAGGAGGACTTTGTTTTCTTTCCCTAATTTATTCAGCTTCTCTATGCATTCTTTGACCAATTTCGAATTGATTGATACTGAGTTGATCGCCTTTAACGCTGCTTGACTATCAGATAAGATGGCTATTTCTTGTTTCCGATAGTTCCTATCTAAGATAAGTTGTACGCATCTCTCGATAGCGTAGATTTCTGCCTGTAGGATACTAGGGTAAGTGCCCATTGGTTCGGAGTAATTAGCTCTCGGCCCAAACACTCCGATCCCTGTTCCCGTATTGGTTTTGGAAGCATCAGTATACCAAGTTATGGTATGGTCTTTTAACTGCTGGGCAAGCGTTTCGCTCTTCCAATCCTTCTTATTGCTCAATACTACATTGACATGTTTGTCAAAGTTGTACGTTCTTGGCATATCGTCCACTGGGAGTTGCAGAAGTGGTATTTCCTTTTTGAGGGTGTTCCAAGCCCCTGATCTGACAATTCTCCCAGTACTAATTCCGTTAGTGACCATTCTAATCATTGTCGCATTGGCATATCTACCAATGACAATGTGCAGTGGTGTTAGATCTAGAATGACCTCCATTGCTGCTGTTGGACAGGTTCTCATGGCTCCTGTGATGCAAACACATGCTAGTCTCTGGACTTTGCATAGGTTTAGCCTTGCCGTCCGTTGCTCTAGTTTTGTGTACCAGGCAACTGCTCCATAAGTAATCATGGGTCTTACTATCATGGTATACATCCAGCGCAAAATGTTATGGGAGCAGCCCCATCTATTTCCGGCCAGTCTTCTGCATATCATGAGAGCCTTTATGGCTTTGCTGGTAGTGTTCTTAATATGCCTGTTCCACAGGAGTTTACTGTCCAGGGTTATTCCCAGGTATTTAACTTCCTGTGTTTGCAGTATTTCCTTTCCATCTAGTTGGATTCTTTTCAAGTTTTTCAGACTTCGCCTTCTGGTGAATGGCACTATCGCGGTTTTGTCTGAGTTGATACTCAGCCCGACAGTCCTACACCATCTCTCAGTGATACGGAGTCCTCTTTGGATAATATCACACAAGGTGCCATCTGCATACCCAATGCAGTGTATTCCCGCTAGAGTTAATTCATCTAGTAGTTCATCCACCACCAAGCTCCACAGCAAAGGGGAGGTTACTCCACCTTGTGGAGTTCCTTGCGTTGTTTTAACAGCTACAGTTTTGGTGCCCATCTGAGCCTCTGCTGTTCGTGTTGACAGCATTTCCCAAAACCAGCGAATAATAGTTCTGTTCACCCCTCTTGTTTCTAGAGATCGCCTGACCACCTTATGTGATTCCATATGAAACGAAATTCTAGACAAAAGTACAACTTTAACGCCTCTTCAAAAAAGTATAATACAACTTTTGCATAAAATTACCTGAGGAGATAATATTTGACCTTTTCAAAATTTACATGGGTCCCATCTTCCGATGCACCACTCGGTACATATAATTTCACCACAATACACCAAAACACTTTTACTTTTACACTGGACGCGCGTTTCGCTAACCATGTTAGCATCATCAGCAGATGATTATAAACTCAAGAGTTTATAATCATATTATAAATATATACGTGTATTGTGGTGATTTAGTGTTTTTATTTTGCTGTGTAACACCAAAGGTTCCAACCCTCAACTGTAACATATAATTTATTATGTTTTTATTTTAGAATGGCATAGCTGTTTGCTGTTATTTTCTCATACTTCTTTTCATCGCAATTACACCCATTGTAATAAAGCTGATAGATTACTACAAAGAGGACCAGGACGAAGATATTATAACATCAATATTGCATCGGTAAGATTCTATCGCTGTTTTATTATATTACAAAACAGGATATTTATCATTTTCGTTTATGCAAGACGGTCCACTCAAGAGGAGAGAATTTGGGGTGGCGCTATTCAAGAGTAAGTTACAATTTAATAATAAATTTCTTAAGAAAGATATAATAGAAAAAAGATACAGCACTTAATATCGTAAATGAAATAACTCTTATACTAGCAATAGACCCAAGATCACCAACTTCAGACCTACCAGGCAACTCTATTCGAAGAGTATTTTTTCCTATGCGTAGTCTACCAAAAAGTGAATAATGTTTTCTTTGGCAGTTTCATTTCTAGCAAAGTATGAGTAATATCGTCACTAAAACAGAAAATTTTTAACATAATTAAAAATATTATTTTCTGTAAAATTCCAACAAGTATTCCCAAAATGTTTCCAAAAAGCCAAGGATGCGTTTCAAACAAATTATTGACAGTCGGGTGCTTATATTAAGCTCATTTATAATTGACAGATTGGTTCTTTTAGTTTAAATCTAAAAAGTAAAGCGTCCTTTTACAGTAGACATAAAAATTACAGAAAAATTATAGAAAAATTACTGTGAATTACAGTAATTTTTCAGTAATTTGTCGAACCGCCAGCATACTGAAAATATTTCTAAGCGGCAAATCCAATCCAAATATAATCTGTAAATTTATTTTATTTTATTGCTAGATCGCCAGAGAATCAGCCAACCGACGAAGAACGCCCTACTACTTCTTGGACGTCTCCATCAGTTAGGTATGTTAAAGAGGCCCCTACAAAGAATTATAGATAATAAGGATTTTATTCGTTACCTAATTAAGTCTAATTTTAAAAGGCATAAAGTCTTATGGAGATTTTAATCCACAAACAAATAATACCGTATGATCGAAAAAAAGGCGTCCAGGTGGCTTGGAAATGACGAACAATGACATTCCCCATATAATTTTACATATAAAAAGATAGCGATCTTTATTTCATAGTCATCACCGACGCCGGCAGCTGTATCAACAATTCATAAACCATAACTCAGAACTGAAAAGTCATATACGTCAGTTTTCAGCTTTCAAAATTCAATTTGACAACACCACAGCTGCTTTTATTAGAAATTAGGTCCTCTCGAGCTAGCTTTTTTACATATTTCTTAATTTCAACTTTCTAGCTTAATATACCTAACGTAATAATAAGTACCTAACATGTCTTTGATATCCAAAAGTATTAATTTAACTGATCCAATGATAATTTTGTAAGGGTCCACCCTGGTCCACCTCTAATATATTTTTTTTAAAATTATACTTGATGTTCATTATAATTTAATATCTATAAAAATAAATAAGCATGTCAAGTAGGAATAGTATGGTTATACTTAAAAAAACAGATGTGAAAATAGTTTTTAGATCAATTAAATGACGTCTTAAAATCGATCTCTATAAAAGACCACTACGACGCTGTGTTTTCGATTGTTTAGTACATGTATTTAAATAACCTTTATGAAAATTAATATGTTACACCTGGATTTATAGAAGTCTTCTTGTTTGATAGACTCTACCGGGTGCGTCTCAAAATAAGTGCGTCTCATCCCCTATAACTGTTTTATTTTTTCAAATAAAAAAAAAACGAGATTTGGTATGTTAGTATATGACATAAATTAGGATTGATTGACGTATTCAATTGTTTTCCATCACTTCCTGTTTTACCGGAAATGACTACACCTTTTGATTTTTAAATGGCACCCTCGGTATTTTTTTACTTTATTTGATAGAAAATGACACTCTGAATCAAAAGATATACCATATGTCAACTTTTGACACATTCGCTCAGAAACAAATTGCATTTTAAATTTCAATCTAGAGTGCCATGGCTGTGTTAAAAACGCTAATTTTTAATCAAGGAGCCCTGGAAAAATAGATTTGATCGTCTTAATGTTTTTAGTGTCTTGTTCTGGTCAGTTCAAAGATGCCCAAATTGTATTTTTATTCATATCTCAATTTTTTCAAATGGAACGAGGGTGGCTCATTAGCATATTTGGAAAAAGAATTTTTTTACGAATAATTTGATACCACACACTTGGCATTTCGAGTCAAAAATGTCAAAGTTGTCATATATGATATGTCATTCTATTGAGAATGTCATTTTCTATCGAATAAAGTAAAAAAAATACCGAGGATGCCATTTAAAAATCAAAAGTTGTAGTCATTTCCTGTGAAACCGGATGTGACCGAAAACAATTGAATATGTAAATCAATCCTAATTTATGTAATATACTGACATATCAAATCTCGTTGTTTTATCTGAAAAAATAAAAAAGTTATAAGGGTGGGCCACTTCTGAGACGCACCCGGTATACTGATTAAATCCTATTAACAAAGTAGTTTCCTATAATTAGTTTCCGTAAGTATACGAAATTAATATTATATGTTTTTTATTTAGGGAAAAACAAGAGCATCGTGTTCCTCAACCTCCTAAGTAAGTTTTTAAAGATGTTTATAACAATCTGTTTTTAGTATTTAACATTATCTAGCAAATTAAAATATTGTAATGTAAAAACCAGTTATTTTCTGTATCTGTAGGTACAAAAATTTTATCCAAAATATCATAAGTAAAACATAATTATATTAATTAAGTTTATTTTTCTCAGATTACCCTCTGTATCATCTCAAGTTCACAAACCAAGGTGAGGATATCCTGTTCGACAATTATTTGTTTATCATTAATTATAGGTAATTTTATATCGTTCTTTTTTTTGACGTTCAGGGTTCCTCACACCTCTGCAGTAAGGAGAACTAGATCGCCAAAACAGAGAAGGTAAGATTCCAAAAATAATTAATCGAAAAAATCCTTCATTAATCTTGTTTAAAATTGATCAATACACAATAAGTTTATATCGAAAAAATATATTTTTTTAATATAAGGAGCAGAAATTGTAATGAATAAATTGATTAGTGATGATATCCTTACTTAATTATGTATATGTTACAGTAAAAGTTGGAAATCAGTGATTGTTAACAATTACTAGTAAAAGCTCACATTCACTGATTTGCTAAGACTACGCCAGTAAAAGTTCAACAGCTATTTTTGAAACCAACTTTTACTAGTGAATGCTAACATTCACTGGGCGATGGCAGTGAGTTTGAAAGATTCAGTTAGCGTGGTTGCCACATGTTGTAAAATATATGGATAAATAAGGATAAGTTGAATAATAGACAATATAAGGATAACATTAAATTGGGCTAAACGTTGGCAACGTTGACAGACCTCTGGCGTAAATTTGCTTTTTTTGTGGTTATGTATAATTGTTTTGTTATTGTTGTAAAAGATGCTGTACAGTATTTTCCCTACGGAAGAAATTTTCTGTGAAAAATTAAGGTAAACCAGGCACTCGCAAAAAGGTAACTGTGCTTGTTTTTCATTTTTGCAATATAATGAAACCATAGCAAAAGTTAAGCGTGCAAGAGAAAAAAAATGGTAAGGTTTTTTATGTAGCCAGCTCTTAGACTATATACTATTAAAATACTTCATAAAGAAGTTATATAATAAATTACAATTTAGAACATTAATGTTCGGTGCTACCGACAAGAAATGCTGAATTCCATTTTTCTTTAATTTAACATATTGTATATTTAAAGCTATGCATTCCCGAACTTTTGTTTGTGGGAACTTTTTTCAATATTTTTTTGCTGATAAATCGCATTCTGAAATTTATCCGTGCATTTTTCGAACACTCTGTATATGGTATCTCTAATCATTCAATATTAATATAGGATTATTTATATGATTAATATCAATTCAATATTTATATAATAAAAAATATAAAATTAAAATATTAAATCATCTATGTTTCGTCTATATAATAAAAATAATGCAAATTTAAAAAGCATTTCATTAGATCAAAAAGATTCCCTACTTAATACTGAATATATTTAAGAATTTTAGATCTAATTGTGTATAAAGTGTTTAAATTCATAATTTAATATCAATATACCTAATTTCAATTCTAAAATAGTCAGGTTAATATAATTTAATATTCTGAGCTCTATAATTATAGAAATACTAGTAAAAGGACTCGTCAATATACACCTAGCTGAAAACGATTGTGTCTAAGTCTTTATAGACATCACCTACATTTCTTGTTTCTACGTTGAGTTTCTAGTATTTTGTTCTGACGTATCTTCTATATAATAGAACTTATTTAAATCAAATCAGACAGGATTACACTTTCAATTTAGTTATATTGAACATCGCCTGCATATTCGGAAGATTTTTTTCAATTTATATAAAACGATTTTATTTTTTTTTTGCATTTTCATAAATTTTGAACTAACATTTTTCTTCAACAAATTCATTTAGTTATATCTTTATTTTTATCCATTTTTAGCAATTTATTTACTTTTTTATTTATTTTTTTTTACGATCGTAAAAAATGCGTTTTTCAAATATACTAATGAGACACTCTTGTTCCATTTGAAAAAAATGAGTTATGATTAAAAATACGATTTGGGCATCTTTTAGTAACAGGACAGGAGGAGACTAAAAACATTATACTATCAAATATTTCTGATGCTCCTTGATTACAAATTAGTGGTTTTAACACAACCATGGCACTCTAGATCAGGGTTTCCTAAAGAGTGGTCCACGGACCCCTTAGGGGTCCATAGCATGTATATCAGGGGTCCGCGGTCCGCATTACACCAGTTAACTGTAAACATATTTATTAAGAAAAGAAATAGTGTAGGGCGGCGAATTCAGTAGGTATTTAATCACTAAACACTAAGCGATGCGCGTAAGGATAAAAAAAACAAAGTTGAAGCTGTTCCCTTATCAAACGATGTTATTAATTCCAAAATGGTTGAAATGTCGTCAAATGTTTTACAAGTTGTTGAAGAATTAATTGCTTCACCGTTTCCATTCAGCATTCAATTGGATGAAAACACCGATGTGTCACAATGTAGCCAACTCTTGGTATTGTCCATTACGTACAACAAGACATATGTAGTATTAAAGAAGATTTTCTTTTTTGCAAATTCACTTTTGGAGACTACAAAGGCTTCAGATGTTTTTGAAATGACTTAAAGGTTTTTCAACGAACAAAATATAGACTAGAAAACTAAACTTGGTAGTACCTGCACTGACGGAGCTCCCGCAGTGCTTGGTAATACGTCTGGTTTCGTCAAGAAAGAGATCTCTCATGTCGTAATAACTCATTGTGTCATCGACATGCCTTGGTTTCTTATACGGACTTTACCTACATTTCTGAAGGAAGTTATGTCTACATGTGTCAAAATAATTAACTTCATCAGAGCAAGAGCCTTAAACCACCACGGCACCGCCTGTTTAAAATGCTTTGTCAAGAAATGAAGTCAGAACATGAAGTACTGCTTTACTACACAGAAGTTCGTTGGCTGTCAAGGTGACAGGTCTTAAAGCGATTGTTTGAGTTGAGGACAAAGTGTTACTTTTTCTAAAAGACAAAGGAAATTCACTTTCTGAATATCTTGAGAGCGAAGATTTTGTACGGGGGCTAGCGTATTTGGCAGATATACTTACTCAGTTGAATGAGATTAGCTTGTCTCTTCAGGGCTCTGCGATGACCATCGTGGATGCATCTGAACGGTTGAAAGGTTTCATATGTAAATTGCCACTTTGGAAAAGGAGGGTGGAATCTGGTAACTTTACAAATTTACCGATGTTTGAAGAGTTAATAGCACAAGGTGGCGGCAACACGATATCAAAAATGCTACAGAAAGAGGTGTCTAAGCATTAGGATACATTGCAAATTTCTTTTGGAGGCAAGAGGGTCCATTTCGGTCAAGAGGGTCCATTTATAATCGACACGGATAATATCAGCAATATCATTAAAAATCAGTTAATCATTTCCGGTGAAACAGGAAGTCACCGAAACTAACTGATTACGTCAATCCCGATTTATATCAAACACTAACATACCCAATCTCGTTTGTAATTGATAATGAAAAATGTAGGGATGAGTCACTTTTGAAAAACATCTGGTATAATGAGAAATTTTCTGCGTTTAAATGATTATTATTTCTCTCAGTTAGATCTCAAAACAAAGAATCACATTCTATGACATCTTACGATTAGGTGAATTTTGTACTTGATCATGAAAAATTATATTAATAGAATTGGTTTACCGATCACTCTTTACTGCCTACTTCATCATACTAATATACAGAGCGTTCGAAAAATACATGGCCAAATTTTAGGGAATGATTTCTTATCAAGAAATATGAAGAAAAGTTCCTGTGGAGAGTGGTTATGGAAAGATGGCATGGAAAATTCGAAAATTATATTCTTGTTCCCAATATTTTATAGTTTTAGCACAATCCTCTTACATTTTCATTTTAACCAAATAATAACAATATAAATTATATATGCCAAAAAAGGAAGTACAGAGGCAGTCTAATATTGTTTTTAAATAGAAATACAAAGTGTTTTAGATATCGACAGAATAAAATCTTTTATAGAAATCTGTAAAATATCAGTACATATTATACCAGTATTACAAATCCTCTTATTCCCTTACTTTTCGTAAGCTTTCTCGTTTCCAGCGATCGTCATCTCTTTTTATGTTTCAATATGCATTTAAGCCTATCGATTGCCAAGAAACGAGTGTTTGCGAGAATATTCGAGAATAAGCTGCACTTGTATGCCGGCATTTTATTTATCGAAAGCCTTGTTTGCTGCGCGATGAATTTTGAGTTTTCTTTTTGTACTTTCTAGTGGAGGCAAATTGTCCACGTTGACTTCGAGGATAACCGGATCTAGGTGAGATTTTGATTTAAATTGGGATATATCCAGATATGTACTTAGTTTATATGCTATCTATAATGATTTAGAATTATTTGTAGTTTTAAAATAGTAATACCATACGATAAAAAAAACGGCATCATAGACGGCTGGGTAATAAATGTCGATGATAATTTTAGCGCGGCCAACCCCTAAGTATCAACACCTAAGTACAAGACACACTATTATGGGGTTTTTACCCCCCAAAAAATTGAAAATTTGGATTGGTTTGGTTTGGTTTGGTAAAAATTTGAAAATTTGGATTTTTTTTTTTTTGTTAAATAGAATAATTTTGTGAGAATATGTCAACATAGGTAGTAGATTAAATTTATAAGAATGAAACCCCAGAAAAGATCCAGAGGTTCTCAAAATTTAAGCAAAAAATTATTTTCTTGAAAATTTTCAAAGTAAAATAACTCGATTATTTTTTAGTTATTTGAAAAACGGTAAAGAGAAAATATGTTTCCTTTATCGATATCTACCAGCTCTGAAATTATTTGCATTTATTTAAAACTCGCCCTATATATTGAGTGAAAATAATTTTTAAAGACTATATTTTAAAATTCGAGAAAAATATTTTTTTTGGAAATAGATTTGTGTGTTCGGAAACTTTCTACCCTTTTTAGTCTTTCTATAAATAGTATTAATTTTTAACGACGTTTTTTTTTCGATCATATGATAGTTAATCTAATTAGGCAACATAAATATAAAAATTAACTGTTTAAATTAAACAATGCCGAACAAGCGAATACAAACCAGTGCCAGTTTCTGTCATTTTGATTCACAAATAAATTGAATTTTCTCTCAATTTTTCGACGTCCTCTATTGAAATTTTCTCCTGCCTATTGAACACACTCTATTCAATTTTAATTGTACATTCAAGAAGTAATGGAGATTTACATCTAGGTTATACATACAGACCGGACCACCGTAGTAGTAACAGGCAGAACCGGACGAATTAGCGTACACCCGTCCGCCTGATAAAAAGCAGGCGAAAAAATGCGATAAAATAAAAATAGGTCGATATGTGATAAGAATGTTTCAGAATTTGTATGTATTCGTCTTTTAATAGCCAAAACGAATACATAGATTCTCGCGACAGTTCTCGTGTAAAATTTATTTTTTAAGTAAAATAATGGATGTTTACAAAGTTCGTGAGAAAATTCAAATTGTAAAATGGTATTTCCAAAATAGGTCTTATCGGGATATACAAACAATTTTTCCACAAACTTTTGTAAACAGGCCATTTCCATCTTTATCTACTATATCAAGAGTTATTAATAATTTTGAAACACATGGGTGCGTGTCCCCACAAAAACACAAAAAGCCTGATGTGTTGATTAATGAAGAACAGGAGTTAAAGCAAGTGTTCGTTTGTGCTACCGCAGATCAAAATCCCACGTTTTCAAGTAATCAAATTGCTGAGGTGGTTGCCCTGCACAATGCCCGTATCGTGCAACGATATTTGAACAATACTTTTCCCAACCGTTTAATTAGTGGATATGGAACTATTTTGTGGCCCGCTAGATCACCAGATCTTTCTCCCAATGATTTCTTTTTGTGGGGTTATGTAAAATCCAAAGTGTATGGTCATAATAGGGCTAATAATCTGGATGAGCTTCAAGTAAAAATACGAGGGGCTTTCCAAACTATTAGCCCTAATATGTTAACCAATGTCAGACGGGGATTTTACGACCGCTTAGGCTTCTGTCTAGCACAAGAAGGTGGTCTTTTTGAACACTTGTTATAACTTTTTTCTATTTAGAGTAATATTATAGTTTGTTTTTGGGTTTAGATAATTTATTTATTTTTAGTTTTGGCTTGTAAACACACTCAAATAATAAATATTTAAGTATTTTTATTTTAAATGTTACCTTAAGTGAAGGTAAACACTTAAAATGAAAATAATAAATACACGGCACTCCTCGCGTCATATTCCTAGTCTGTCACGACCGACCTGTCCAAGCACAACTGCAACTGCATACTGCCTGACCAGCCGACTAGCCGGCAGTGACTCTCGAGTACGAACGCAAAACGGGTAAACGTAAATTCGTCCGGCAACTTGCTATGTTACTAGTAGCCTGGTCTTCTCTGTATATGGAGGATATTATTATTAAAATAAAAATACTGTAGAATATACGCTGGTTACCTTCTAAAATAATTTCCAAAATTTATAAAAAAAATATATTTAAGATAAATTAAAGTATATCCATATCCATGTATTACCAAATACGATCGAAAGAAACGCCTTGCAAAACACGATCTATCATCGATTGTAATTTCCAAGCCAACTCTGACGCCTTTTTTATCAAACGGTATAATCCATAAACTGCTCTTCATGTTAAGCCCCGTTCTCAGAACTGCGACTGTCGCCAGCTCAAAAGTACCAATAAGATTTGTACAAAATTCAAACAACTGTCAATTTTAAATTTAGTACAGTTTTCATTGGTTGTTTGAACTGTCAAACTGTGTCGCCAGCAGGGTTGGCATCATTTAAATCAAATGATTTAAATCATGATTTAAATCGTGATTTAAATCAAGTGATTTTTTTAATTTTAATCATGTGATTTAAATCAAAATATCAACTTTTTTAAAACTTTACAATAAATCGAAAAATAACTATAAAAGTTATAAAAATATGTCCTAGAAAACTATAAAAATATTTCTATAACATATATACCCTATATCTATTCGTTAAATGAAATGTTACACTTACTATTGTAACGTTTAAATATGTTCAATAAATCAAAAAAAAAATGTAAATGTTATAAAACTATATAAAAATGATTTGTATAACACATATACCTATTACATATCTATTCATCAATTAAAATGTTGGACCGATTTTTCAAGTAATTTCGTATGAATCCATTAGACTTCTAAAGGGCAAGGATTTATTTTGAAATTTATGTACAAGTGACAAAAAAATGCTGTTCGAATAGATTCCATTCGCAACCTGTAGTGCAGAAAAAGGTTCTTTTGATATTAGACTATATCTTCAAATCGTTGTCAGAAAATATGCTGTTTTATATCTTTTTATTTTACACTTTGACAATAGATAATACTAATTTCATTCTCGACTTAAGACTATTTCCGAACAATAATGTATTGTGTAAGGAGTAAAAATTATACTTTTTTTGACGAGGTTGTACGTTTGACGCACTCTCGGACGCACTATACATATAGCGTAAACAGGGACGCACAAAAGTACATTTTTACTCCGAGTAGAATATACTATATTTTTACAAATTAAACATTACAAATAATTTTTTAATCAATTTCAAACGTTGCAAATAATATAATAAGTAATGCCTTAATCGAGTAAGTAATCGAGTAACAATTTGTACACTCGTTGAAATTGACGCTTAATATCAGTTTAGTAATATATTTTGGTACTTTTGTGCTTAGGCGTAAAAGTGATTTACTTTTATGCCTAGGCGTTGAAATGACAAAAATTAATACTCTTGTGGCATTTCAAAAAAATCCTTTTGATCTGAATTTGACCGATGTCTGGGAAAATGACACGCGCCGTAGAATTGTTAATGTTGTCAGTATTGGGCAGAGTTATGACGATTAAACCATTTAGGATAAGAATTTAATTGGAATTAAGTCCTAATTATTTGGAAATCCGATTTAAATAATGTTTTCTATTAAAATCAAAAAAATCAAAAAAATCTTATTTAAATCAAAAAAATCTCATTTAAATAAAAAAAATCTGAATTTTTTGATTTTTTTTTTTAAATCATGATTTTTTCCAACCCTGGTCGCCAGCCACACAACGTTGTCCTGAGAACGGGGCTTCAATCCCCGTTCTCAGAACTGCGACTGTCGCCAGCGACACCTCAAAAGCACTAACGAGATTTGTACAAAATTCAAACAATTGTCAATTTTAAATTTAGTACAGTTTTCATTGGTTGTTTGAACTGCCAAACTGTGTCGCCAGCCACACAACGTCGTTCTGAGAACGGGGCTTTTAGTCTTGAGTCTAAACATACTTGAGTCTTTACAAACACATAGTAACTTGAAATGTAACCTAAAAAATATCCTTCAATTTTTTCCTAAATAAAACAAATGTTTAATTTAAAAATAGCTATGTTTAATATCCGCTCATGTTATTATGAAAATTATAGTGTATAGTGGTTAATAGTTATCGCAAGTTAAAATTTAGCAATTTACTTTTGCAGACATCTCACGGAGCAGATGCCGGCAATTTCTAGGGCAAGGACTCCAAGAAGGTAATATTACAAGGAAATTCTAAAAGTGCATATTAAATTATTTCTGTATATACGCGGTGTATACAGGGTGGTCCGAACTGTATTTCGGAAATTTCGGCAGCTAATATTCTGCAGATAAAAACAAGTAAAAAAGTACGTATAAATCTATGTCCTAAATGCTTAGTTTCGGAGGTATACAGGGTGTAGAAGTTTTATTTTTATTTCGATTTTTTCCAAATAATTTCTGAAGTAACGTCAATATTTTGATGAAAATTGTCTGAGAGTTTTTAACCTGGGAAATTTGATTTTGTTATCAATATCACCCCTGCTTATGGGGGGGGGGCACCTACCTATTTTTTAACTGGTTTGAAGAGTCATAACTTTTCGTCTGTACCTGTATAAAACTAATGAGTAAAAAAATAAACATTTAAAACGTTTTTTACGTAAAGTGTATTGGTAAAAATCACTAAGAGTAATAGTTCTCGAGATATTTGGAATCTAAATGATCAATACTTGTCATCATTGACATAAATTAAATATGTTGACTAAATAGTTATTAACCTGAAATCATAAATTTGAAATGTTTTTGTGCCAAAAGTTGAACAGAAACTGTTTTATCGTCATTTTTTTCAAAGAAAAATTTATGATTAATTTAAAAAATAAAAAGTTCTCAAATTTATCATTTTAAGTTAAATAACTATCTACTCAACAATCTCAGCATGTTTATTTTTTGTCAATAATGACATGTATTGACTATTTCCATTCTAAATATCTTAAGAACTGTTGCTCGTGACCGAGTTTTACCAAAAGACATTTTTTACGTAAAACGGAATCACGGAAATGTACATTTTTTTACTCAGTAGTTTTATACGGGTACGAACGAAAAGTTATTACTCTTCAAAACAGTTAAAACACGTGTAGGTGGCGCCCCCCACAAATAGCAGTCATATTGACATCAAAATCAAATTTCTTAATTCATGCAAATATTGGTGTTGCTTCAGAAATGATTTGGAAAAAATTAAAATATATATTTTTTATTTATTTATTAATATCTCTGAATTATTGAGAATCTACTCATATCTTAAAATTATATAAAGTGATCTGAAAGGAAGCCAAAAATGCAATAATATACAGGGTGTTTTTGTTCCATTTAAAAAAAATATCCAAATCCAGTCATACTTTTTTGAGCCACCCTATAGAAGTTAAAATATTTTTCTGAAATATATCCTCGCACATACTTTAGGTTTGCACAAAAAAAAATATTCTAGCAGCTACAGTTGCCCGACGCGACGCACTATTGCCGGACCCTGTATGTACTCACTATTTCCAGAAGATATAGAAGATGTAAAGTGCGGCTGCTTTATTTTAATAGCGAACTTGTAATCACCTGTTATCATTGAGCGAAAATAATACTACGAAATGCTTTTAAAACAAATCGATCTTAAATTGGGTGGACCTTGATACCCAGTAACTTTATTTCCTTTTTAATTTTTTACATGTATTTTTAATTGCGATATCTTAACTTGATGTAAGTGGATTGCATTCGTAAAGATTGACTACTTATTGCAAAATCTGAATAAAACAATGAATAAGCAGTGTATCAAAATTAGAACTGTTAATTTTGATTAACTTATACATTTAGGTTTAAAATAGTTTATGTACCAAGAGTCCCAAATTATAACCTCATTTTTGTGATTTTGGAAACTAGAAGAGATGGAAGGAAAGTTTTCCAACTCGGTGATAATCAAAGTGCCAGTTTAAAAGTTTAAAAATTTCGAATATTTCCTAAGGATTTTGAATTTTTTAAGGAAAAAAACAAATATTTGGGATTTTATTTTTATTTTTTATGGTTCTATTTCGATAGATATAATAAATTACGTTTCACATTCTCATTGCTGCTATTTTTGTTCTACAAATTGGTATTATCAGATTTTTAAACCGACGTTTTTTCTTTGAGCTGTCATCAATGAGCCGTCAACCAATTTTCTTTTTTTTTTAAATACGGCCCTGGATGTTTCAACAAGAATTTTAAAAGCTTCTAAGGTCTCACAACCAATGATGTAACGAACAATTCATATTAATGATTTTCTGGTAACATCTTACGAAAGATATATTCTCTATCGCTGTAGCACATGACTTCTTTTCAAACAAGGGTAGTATCCTTGTTTATATATTCTTAAAGTTGTTCAACCGACTAGACAAAATGTGCTGCCAACTGGAGGACAAATCGTGAACCTTTCGGGGCGGAGTCAAAAATATCGATTATTTTCGTTATTTTCCTCAGAGTAATGTAATAATATAGCCCCGGGTTTCTGCGAACTTTAATAGTGATCAGCTGATTAAGAAATTTAAACGAAACTTTTATTTTATTGTAAATTGTGGATTATTTTTGCCTGTTATTTTAAATATTCTAAACCGTATTAACAAAGAAATTATTATTTCGATATGTTGGTACATTATTTATAATTTATGATAATGCTAATTGCTGTTAATTAATATTTAAAAAAAAAGTTACATACCTAATTTAATTTGATTTAATGCAGGTTTATAAAAGAATTATTTCATTCTTAGATTATTTTATTCTAAATTGAGTGCTTTACGAATTTTACGATATTTTATTTTGAAAACATAAAACTTTTTACATTTTTGATGCCAACTAATTGGCATGGTATTATTGGTATGGGAATTAGCCAAGAAAGAAAAGAATTGGCTATAACTTGTAATTATTAACGAAAAAAACATATTATACCTATATCGCTGAAAAGCTTAAAGAATGGCGCTCTTTATGAAGTTATGGCCAACTAGGGTTTCCATTTAAAAAAAAACATAATGTTTGTGTCATATGTCAAAAATGACAGGCTTTAGAAAAAAAAACAAAAAACACAAAGTCATTAGGTATGTGATTATCTACAACTTTTATCTGAAAACTTTTTGTCTAAAATACCGTATGATCGAATAAAAACGGCGTCAGCGATGGCTATGAAATGACGATCGATGATATTTCCCATATAATTTTACATATAAAATGACAATGATCTTCATTTCATAGCCATCGTTGACGCCGTTTTTATTCGATCATACGGTAGATTATAATGGAATTAGAGACAAGTTTTAAAATAGCCAAAATTTGTTTTTTTTTTCGAAATATCTAGTAAGCCTTGAACTTCTCCGGAAAATCCGAAAGGCGCATATTTATGACCCCACAAAACTGCAATTCTTTCCCCATTTAACCGACTCTCTGTCTCCAGTAGTTTCCGAGATACCCATAACGAACATCGTAGGAAACTCACCCTGTATAGTATTTAGAAACTTACTATTATTATTATTTGACTAGATTAATTTGATTAATAAGACTCGATTAATTTATTTTAAAATAAATTTCTAGAAACTACTACTAGAAAACCAAAATTATATGATAACGCACTTTTCAACGAAGTTGAAAGAAGATATATTGTATCTATCACAATACTTAATAGAATTACTACAATTAGAAGAAAAACAAAAAGAAAAAATACCCAAATACCTTCACCTACTACTCATCTACAAAATAAACGAATATAATCTCTTATAAAAACACTACACAACTACTTCTTGTATTTTACACTGAAAAAATTATCAAACTTACTAATTAACCAAACAAAAAGAAAAAATAACCAAATTATCCCTTCACCTAATACTTAACTACAAAATAATAAACTATAAAAACACTAATAAACTAATTCTGGTATTCTACACTAAACATTATAATGAAACTTAATAAAATTAATCTAATTTTACACTACAACTACAAAGAAATAAGAATATTTTTTAAAACTAGAAGAAACAGAACTTCGATACGTCCGACCAGTATAATAGATCAAGCTGACAAAGAATATAAAATACTTTAAAAATGTGTATTCAGAAAGAAAAAATATCTCGAAAATTATCTGAACAAACATTTTTTTTTCTTATCAGTGAAAAGCATCGGCCTCGTCGGCCTTGCGGAATTTGGGGTATTTACAATGGTCGAATTGAATAATTACCAGCTTTTATAGCATATCTAATAGACAAAAAGTATCTGGTCGATTAGTAACCAATTGGCACAGTCCGAAAATTATCGATTTTTATTTTCTGTGTTTTTATTGGTCGCTTCAAAATTCAGAGTAACAAAAAATATTTTTCTGTAGTAAAAGACTGTGAAATACGCCCCGCCATCTGGTGCTTTACATCCATAAACGTCTTAGGTTGAGCTACTTTAAAAATTCATATACAAGGGTAGTATCCAACCATGTAGTTGTTCAAAATTCAGTATTACTCTCAAGGTACAAAATATAAAAATGGTAGACAACGATTAATATTTTTTTTTTAAATAGGGTTCTTTCTTTTTGTTCATATTTTTTCCTTTCGACAATTTAAAATACAAACTGTCCAACAAAAGTCCTTTTCCATCAAATTTCCTTCGGCATTTTTTCATCGATTTAACTCATCTTAACCATTGCATCGTCCCTCTAAATTGGAAAGCGCCATTTAAAATCAATTTTACCCGAGTTATATTTTATTTAAATAGAAATAACTGACGGACAGACCTATTTATTCCGTTCCATTATTTCTCCCCGGAAACTTTATTAAAAAGCTTTTCCAGATCCATCTAAGGATAATTTATTATTTTTTTCCAGGGGACGCGAATCCATGAAATTGATCGAACCGATCTATTGGAAATCGGGGTAAGAGCGTAGCCAGAAAGTAATGGCAGTAAAACAAAATATAAACTGACAATATGCTTAAGCATTCATTAATTCTGCTTACACTATTATTAAACTAATAATTATTAATTAGTTATGCCTGTTGCCAATCAATTTCACCAAGTCCCTGCTTAAAAACTCAAATCAATATTTCTACATTATCTACTCGTAGGTTGCGCTACTGAGTAAATGGACTTTGTATTTTCTTTCACTTATTATTTTTGTTTATCGTACCTTTAATAGATTTACATATCATTTAGATTAATATATAATTCATTTTAGTTTTTAAAACTTTACTTAATCTACATCTACATGTTAACACTCTTGTTAACATGTTCCTTTGGCTGAGAGTACCTACTTCGATCATGTGTAGAATCAATCATCAACATTTTAATCTAGTTATCACAGTGCTAATGAGTAATTTTAAACTAAATTAGGCTGATTCTGGTGATTTTTCTGTAGGAAATGTTTTTGTTGTTACTACATACATTTTCAAAATTCTTAGTGTTACTCCATTAAAACAAATTTAAAAATAAAAATGATATTTTTTGTATTTTTTTAAATGCTACACCAAACTTAAACCAGCTTGTCAGTGGATTTTTTTCAGAAATTTGTCTAATCGACCAAAAATGTTTAACGTTTCAGGGAGTAGGTATATCTGCTATCTCCTCCCGCCAACAACAGCAAAAAACAAAAAGAACAACCAGTGGCGGATATACAGTGTGAGTCTTAAATAAGTGCAAATATTTTCAGGGTTGGTAGATGTCGATAAAAGAAACATATTTTCTCTTTACCGTTTTTCAAATAAGTCCAAAATAACCGAGATATTTTACTTTGAAAATTTAAAAAAAAAGATTTCTCGCTTACATTTTGAGAACCGCTGGCTTTTCTGGCTTTTCTTTCTTGTAAATTAATTTAATCTACTACCAATGTGCCGTATATTATGAAGATATTATGTTTTTTAACTAAAAATTTAAAAAATGTCCAAAAACTGAACCCAAATTTTGCAAAAAAAATTGCGTATAAAACCTCATAGACGTGTGTCTAGGGTCGAAATTTTCCACTTATTTATGATTCACCTTGTATAGGACAGTTGGCGGGTTATGTGCCTCTCCCAATGGTCTTTCAATAGACGAAGTTGGAAGATTGCTGTCCCAGTTGGAAAATAAAAAAATCTTCAAAGTTGATTTTGCTCATGTGAAAGAAAGAAATCAAAAAATATTTCAATATAAATCGTCGATTATGTATTTTATTCTATCAGTGGCGGATCTAGGCGTGGGCAATTTCGTGGTACGAAAATTGTTTTTTATGACGATGAGCAAACGAGTAAAATTTCCTGTGCGCAAAAATAAACTCGCGTAAAATAACAATAAACACTATAAACAGCGTAATAGAGAGATATCGGTAAACCGAATAGCGTGCATGGACGTTAATAAGGTCAGGTGTTATTTCCTTTACGTGAGGTGATATTAACTCTCTTCATTTATAGTTATCGGATCGGAAAGAATTCTGTTCGCGTCGCGTCCGCTATTTAAACTTAACCTAACTTTGAATTTAAAACTTTGAAATTGTTTTGTTTACTAGGTATTTTAAAACTAAAGGGCTAAAGTGCTTATTTCCAATGCTTTATTGTTCAACGTCTGCCAGTGGGTTTAGGGCGACAAATTCTCTTAGAAGGGCTAAGTCGTCATCTACTGTAAACCTAAGCCTCTTTATAGGTTCTTTAATATTGGAACAGGTAGAATCCATATTTTGGGCCATATTTATTTAACTAAAATTAATCCCAGCTACTTAAATATCAAACTACCTAATAAAACTAAAATAATAATTCAAAACAATTCAAACATAACCTAAAATAAAAGATCTCGCCGGCGGGCCCCGGTTGTCAAATACCCACACATGCATATTTAAGCAATTTTTAAACGTTATTTAGAAATAGCGCTTGGTGTAATTCAAGAACAGTTAACCTTACCGTTCTTGGGTGTAATTGATCCGCAAATTACGTCAGGCGGTAACGTTATTAGCGTGCGTTGCGTTAAAAATTGACTCGCGCATATCGTAACCATGATAAGGTACGCGTAAATACTGCATGACGCTATTCGGTTTTCCAAATATCTCTCTAATAACTGTGCCGGTCAGGCGCTGTGCACAATTTTAGGCCATGAGTGGGCGTGCTATGTGCGCAAACTAGTAACCTAACTAGTACTCTATTCCGAAAATTGGAACCACGAAAAACAATAAAGAAAAAACAAAGTTTATAATCTGTATAATCTGTCTCTCTCATGGTACTTGCTCTCTCATGGTAAAACTCATGGTACTTGCTCGAAGTCACGGACGGTCCGCGCGGACGCGTCGCTCCATCTGAAAGCGCTGTAAAAGCGAAAAAGATCTGACTGATAAAATTATTGATCTTTCAGAGCTTATCGAAAAATGGTCTACAGAAGGAAAAAAAATGCAATTGCCGAACACTGATGCCTCGATGAATTAACTGAAATATTAACTAATATATTGGATGAATTAATTGTTTTGTTAGTTATATACTTTATATACAAATTCTTAGTAGTTTTAATAGTAAAAATAAATATGTAGATATAATTTGTAGATATCCACGACTTTATTTGAGTCTAGTTAACGTTTGGAAAGTATATATCTCATTTTGTATAAGACTTAATTAGTTAAAATTTACAAAATAAAACAGTTCGGAAATTGAACAGTCCCGAGTAGGAAAATTGAACGGGTTAGCAACCCTCCAACAACTAAAGAACCACTTCAAACGTCTATACAATATACAGTATGTCTCCGGATTGTCTTTACAAAAGGAAAAACTTTTTTATTATTGACATTTTGAGAAAAATGCATTCTTCATAAAAAAGTTTGCTTGTTCTGAAATGGTTAATCCCGTTTATACTTTTTCAAATTTTCATACAGTTTTAGAGAAATATTAGTATTTTAATAAAACACGCTTTTAGATGTATCAAAAAACTTTTAATAAGAGTAACTTTAATTTTACATATATGTTTCGGCTTGTTAGGCCTTTTTCAAGAGTTTTTTAAGAACTAATCGTCTAACTACACTGTAACTATATACATATATATTTGCTATGGGGGTTTGGTTTGTTATAATTGTAAACTCTCTGAACCCACTTATTAAAAAACTTTTGAAAAAGGCCTAACAAGCCGAAACATATATGTAGAGTTAAAGTTACTCTTATTAAAAGTTTTTTGATACATCTAAAAGCGTGTTTTATTAAAATACTAATATATCAACGATGTTTCACAAGGAACCAACCACAGCTTCAGTACAATTTATTTTAGAGAAATTTTATATCTTAGTTATTACGTAATTATGAGGTATAATATTATCTGTGTTTTTTTTTATTGTTATATTTCTTGTTTCAGATCGACCACACCCCGAAGCTGGATGTAGCTACCGTCAAAACCCTTTTTTAGTAACTGTATTTCTTCTTCTTTATTGTTAAGTAAGATTAATAAGCCTCATTTAATTGCTATACATTATTTGCCCTTCCTCAAATTAAGATTAATTATTTATCATAACCAAAGAGTATATCATTTTTCAAATTTTCGTTAGGGAGGCCTTTAAAAGATTCTAATACAGCAATTTGCGAAAATTTATTGTCTTATATTATAAAGCAATGCTTTCGAGCATTAGGATCTTTTGCTAGAAATTTAACTGCAGATTTTTGTAATTAGTTTTAAGATTTCAAACAATAAATTGTGGTTTTATGTTAGAGTTATGTTTTTTTTTTCAAACGTCATAAAAGTATTAATTTTTCCGACGTGAATGTCCAGTTTGGTGTAGCAAAGCGCCTACAAACCAGGGATAATTATGCCGTCGCACAGTGCTTCGTCCCATGGACAATAATCGAAAAAAAATTTAAAATTTACTAATATCTGAATATGTAATTTTATACTTATAGCAATGTTGAACCATCCTGTATATTATTTTTCATAAACACCGTTTTTTTGTTAGCAAATATTTTCACTAAAAATAAATTTTGCGATCATTTTCTTATATCAATGAAAAGAATAACATTCATAGTAGTTCTGTATATGGAGTTAAACGTAAACGAGTTAGTACGTACTTAATTGAAAGCCACTATGGATATTGTTAAACAAGGTACTTTAAATTTATTTCTAAACAAGTTCGTTATTGCTTTAGTTGTATTTATTTTTTAAAATGATTCTTAAATGGGTATAAAATCTTACGTTTTCAAACTTCAAAAGGCATTTAAAAACATATCAAAACATACTGTATTTATTGAATATTTTGTTGTCATATTCATACACTTTTAATTTTTGTATAGTTCACCTGCGTCTGCTTGCGACGAACTTTTATTTTATAATACTTTTTCAGATGGAGTAAAATGATAAGCAATGCCGATCTGGTTAATACTTGGCTTGATCATAAGGACAAGAACTCAAAATTATTTGTATTTCAAAAAATGTGTTCTTTATTAGATATTGATGAACATTCCAGTCAAATGAGACCATTTGTGCCTGAAAAAGCCCACTATTTTGGAGCGAAACGTCGCATAAAAAAGTTTCCATCTTGCAATTTATTATAAAACCTCATACCCAAGAAAACGAAAATATAATATATTGATATGGTCTATTAAAGAGGTAACTATTAACATCCGAACCCCTCATACCAACAAAAAGAACAGTAACAACGCGAAAAAGTAACATATTTGAAAATGATGTACAGAAATATCTTATATGTGCGGATATTTCATCTACCTGTGATTTGGATACTATAAATTTGGAAGATACTGTCAGCAGTGATTCTTCTGAATCAGAGTAGTTACGATCAATGCATTTTGTTGTCCTAAAGTAAATTTATATTATCTTGAGTTTTTTTTAATTAAATATATCATTAATGTTTCTTTTTCATTAAAGAAAAACATTTTTATCTTATATTGGCTTATATTGTAGGAATCATGTTTTAAAGTTATTCCAATTCTTTTTTATCACAGGGATTTATTTAATACTTACACCGTTTTCATACTATAAATTATTATTTCCTTAGATGGAACACAGCTCCCACATTTTTATTATTTATAAGATTTTTTTTCATAAACGTGAGACTAAGAACATCATCATTTAGTACAATGAGAGTACTCATCATTTGTATCAAATAAACCTAGTTTGAATAAATTGCCTACAATAAAAGAGAAGTTTTGCATTTTTGTCCTCTAGAGCCATATGTTCGAAGCACTGTGCGTCGCCGCGCCAGCGCCCTAGCTATAGCCTAGTTAGCCTATTGGATAGCCCTAGGCTATAGCCTAGTTAGCCTATTGGATAATCCGCCTCTGTTTGTGCCTCGCCTGTAATACCAAACATACAGCCTCACCAAACAAAGTATCATTTTTACTCCTAATAAAACAATATACTATTTATAATATACGAATATATATTTTTAGAGCAACAAATGATCAAGGTACATTAACTGCATCAAAAATAATACCACAAAACAAAACCTCAAATATGTCAACTTTGTATCTAGCTACGGAGCTGTTTTGATTACCCTGTATAAGGTCTATCACCACCCTTTTATCTACAATCACACAACGCATTAAATTTAAATAGGCCAACAACTGTATTTAAAAAAAATATTCTATTTCGTAAATAACAAGATATATGAAAATAATACAATCTCCGAACAAGTGATCTTTAAGAACAAGATCGACCACGCCCACATGCGTAGTTGCTCGAATGTTATGCTAAAAAGTAATCTTCCAAATGAAAGGTTAATTAATATAATGATATTCTTTGTTATGTGCTTTACTTAATGTAAAACCTTGTAATGTAAACGTTTAATTATCTCATTTAACATAATTTTTATAAACAAGATCTTAAAATGAATTTGTATTTTGTTTATTGTTATATTAATCTTATAATTTTACTTGGTACTATTCTTTTTAAAGTGTTATTTTTAACACTATATACAGGATAATTACTATTTATGTAGATTATTTATAAACAATGTGTAAATAAATAAGTGCAAAAAATATCAGGTGATTATTTTCTTAAATAGGCATATAGAAAATAATTTCAAGAATACTTCTGATTTTATGTTTTTTTTACAAAATAATTTTGTTATGCTGAATGAACTAAAAATAAAATAGTATCGTAGTTTTTCAAAAACAGTTCACACAAAGAAAATTAAAATTTGGTGTATGAATGTGAATAATCAAATCACAATCTTTGCGTTTTTCCGTAAATGTTTACCTTTACCGACTAAGTATACAATTATGGTTACCGAAACCGGAGCTGTTTTTTAGAACCGGGAATTACTGTACTACTTTTCTAAGGAACCGGGATTTCGCGTTTTTCTCAGTACTTTCGGTACTAACTAATTTTAGATCAGTGATGGTGCAGTTTATCAATCAACAAGAAAGGAATGACTTTCGAAAGTAAAATCGAAAAAACAAATATTTTTTTAATGAGAATAATATCAATTCTTATCAAACAACATAATGAAACTTAAAACTACCAAATTTAAAAAAAGCCCTACATTTTTTACTTAAATGGCCAGCCACTTGTGTGACTGCATAGTCAACACTCAGCGTTTATGTTTAATTCAACTGAAATTTAAATAATAATTCTAGATATTTCAATTTAACAACTCTCATATGGAACACAAGTCGATAAGGTTATCACTATAACTAGTTTATACTGTACTAGCGTGTAACCGCGACTTCGTTTGCGTCGAATTAATCATTTGTAATGGTGATGATAAAGCAAAGCAAGAATTTCCATTAACATACAAACTGGATAAAATTTTCTCACATTTATGTCAGCACGAGGAAAAACAATATGGCGATATTATTATATAACTTGGTAATATTTGAGGGGTAGTTTCATCTCGTTGGAACAATTTGACTTTCGAAAAATCCGTTTGCCAAAAATAAGCTTTTTACGTCAAGCAGTTTAAGCAGAATCGTGGTTAATCAAATACCCAACTTTTTGGAACACCCTGTATGATTTTTTAAAAAATTTCAAAATATGTAAAAAAACAAAATAAATTATGCGTATTCAAGCGTTTTCCCGAAAGACTAACCGTTTGTTAAATAACAAATATTGTAATATTTGAGGGGCGTTTTTACCCTCTTGGAATTTGAGATTCGAGAAACCCCTCCTTTTCGAACCTCTACACCCCACAGTCAATCCGTTTGCCAAAAATCAGCTTTAAACGCCAAACAGTTTAAGCAGAATCGTGATTAGTCAATGGTCATATTTTATGAAACACCCTGTATAAATTTTTAAAAAATTTTAAAATATGTAAAGCAACAAAATCAAATATACGTGTTTAAGAGTTTTTCCGAAAAACTCACCGGTTTTTAAATAAAAAAATATTCTAATATTTGAGGGGTGGTTTCATCCCCTTAGAATTCGAGTTTCGAAAAATCCCTTCTTATCGAACCTCTACACCCTAAAGTCAATCCGTTGTCCAAAAATCAGCTTTTTACGTCAAGCGCTTTAAGCAGGATCGTGATTAATCAATGACCAGATTTTTCGAAACACCCTGTATACATTTTTAAAAAAATTTAAAATATGTAAAAAAAAACAAAATAAAATATACGTGTTTAAGCGTTTTTTCGCAAACTTGACCGTTTTTTAAATAAAAAATATTGTAATGTTTGAGGGATGGTTTCACCCCCTTGGAAAAATCCCTTCTTATCGAACCTCTACACCCTAGAATCAACCTGTATGCCAAAATTGAGCTTCTTACGTTGAGTAGTTTGAGCAGGATCGAGATTAATCAGTGAGTCAGTCACTTAAGGATTTTATATATTAGTATAGATTATCGAAAAAAAACGGCGTCCGGTTGGCTCTGAAATGAGTATTGATGATATTCCCCATATAATTTTACATATAAAATAGCTGCGATCTTCATTCCAAAGCCATTGCTGACGCCGTTTTTTTTTCGATCATATTGTATTTTAATGCACAATATATCGTGGCTCTCTTTTAATAACTTTTTTTTAAATGAATAAAATAAATACGTTATAAAGTGGAGCCGCTTTTGAGACGCGCCCGGTATATTTTGATCTACGTATTGTCTGCCCAACGACTCAGAGAAATTTTCGACAGACAACATCCAAAAATGACAAGAAATATAATTTACCTATTAATTAAAATGACAGATACAGCTGTCACTGTCAGGAATCCTCTCGTCGGAAAGAAAATAGAATGTCAAATTATTTATCTTATTAATTTTTTTATATCTGACTTTTTTGTCTTACAATACTGTATTGTAACAATTATTAATAATTTATTTTTTATAAATATTGTTTCCAAAATATTAATAATTCTATTTATGAACACTGTGTTGACTTATTACAAGTTCTTGTTAAAGATCTTCTAAATTGAAAGATAGATATCGAAATCACTGGTCACTCACAATCTTTCACAAAATATTTTTTTATTTCTAAATTGTCCAATAATAATTAATTTTCCATTAAGGCCGGTTCTGTTTTAATTTCTACCCTCTTATTTTTATTATTTAAAAAATGCCAGATACCTATTATCCTTATTACGTATACAGGGTGGTCCGAACTGTATTCCGGAAATTTTGGCAGCGTATTCTGGAGATAAAAATAAGTAAAAAAGTTCGTATAAATGTATGTCCTAAACTGGTTAGTTTCGGAGATACAGGGTGTAGAAATTTCATTTTTATTTCGATTTTTTCCAAATAATTTCTGAAGTAACGTTTGGGAGTAAAATTGGTGTCTGGGAGTTTTTTGACATGAGAAATTTGATTTTGATGTCCATATGACTCGTACTTGTAGGGGGGGGACACCTACATGCGTTTTAACTGTTTTAAAGAGTAACAACTTTTCGTCCGTACCCGTATAAAACTACTGAGTGAAAAAATATACATTTCCGTGATTTTTTATGTAAAAAATGTCTCTTGGTAAAAATCGCTACGAGCAACCGTTCTCAAGATATTTAAAATGGAAATAGTCAATACATGTCAATATTGACAAAAAATAAACATATGTCCAAAATAGATTGTTATTTGACTGAAAAATAGGAATTGACAATTGACTGAATGATAAATTCGTGTTTTTTTAATTTTTTTTAAATTAATCATAATTTTTTCTTCGAAAAAAAGATGATAAAACAGTTTCTTCTGAACTTTTGGCACAAAAACATTTAAAATATATGATTCCAGTCTAATAACTATATTTAGTCAACATGTTTAATTTATGCCAATGACGACAGGTATTGGTATTGACGAAGAGACTTTTTTTACGCAAAAAACGTAGTAAATGTATATTTTTTTACTCAGTAGTTTTATACAGATACGGAAGAAAAGTTATTATTCTTCAAACCAGTTAAAAAATATGTAGGTGGCGCCCTCTACAAGTAAAAGTCATATTGACATCAAAATCAAATTTCTCATGTCAAAAAACTTCCAGACACCAATTTTTATCCAAATATTAACTTTACTTCAGAAATTATTTGGAAAATTTCACACCTCTACTTTTCAACCAATAACATGCTTTAATGTTGACTAGTTACCATGGCAACTGAAAAAATTTCCGGAAATTTTTTCGAGGCGCCACGAAACTTTAGTGGAAATTTTTTGACAGTTGAAAAGGTAAACATAAGATCTACAATCATAATGTGAATGAACTACAATGTCTATATATTGAAATATTACCCATTTGAGTTTTAGCATTTGATGTAACTAAGGTTGGTAATATTTTTTATTTAAGGAAATATGTTAGATATACCTACATATGAATTTCTTCGAAATTGCCATGTTCTAAAAAATATAGTTCTGCCGCCTTTATTTAACTAAAGCTGGTATTTTTCTATTTAACGAAATATGATGGATATATCTATATGATTTTTTTAGAATTTATTTCATGTTGAATTATCTTCAATGCCAAATCTTTAATGATATCGACTAATATAGCAAAATAATAACGAAACACATTTAGTAATTATAGGTTTTATTAATATTAAAAACACAATTATTGTAAATGTTTGTAGGCTGGCTTGAATTGGTGGTTTGAATCTGGGTATTTTCTGTTTTATTTTGCATTGTGCTCTGATCATGATTGAACTGGCTAGTACTTGATGAAATGCTCCTCATGGATTCAATCATCTGTTGATGATGTTCAGCGTCCAACTGTAAGTAAGGTTTGATCGACTGACTATTACTATGTCCAGTAATTTTAATGAGCTGTTGTTCACCAACTCCTTTCTTGGCCAAATTCGAAACAGCTGTTGCTCTTGCAGAATGATTGGTTATTTTAACTTTTTTAGTGTCAATTCCTATATCTGAAGCTGCTGATTTAAACCATGAAGATACAATGTTCTTACCAACTGGGCTATTCTTGTACCATCCTTTCGAATTGGGTTGATTCCAGTATGGGTTTGGTGTTAAGAATAGTCTGTCGGTTTGAATAAGATTTCCCCTTTTTTCCATCAACTTTCTAAACAAGCGAACCGGACACATTTGTGGATTTTCGAAATTTCTAATCAACCATTTACTATCCGACAGTTTTTTAGAACCACCTTGTGTGGTTTTAGAGAAAATTGGATTATATTCTATCCGACCTTTTGGGTTTCCGAAATTATCAGTTTCTTCTTTGAAGTATTGGATACAAGCAGAATGTCCTTCCCCTCCTCTCCATGCCAGCTCATGTGAAACTATGTGAAAAAATTTACGCTGCAACCCATCTGGAGTATTTTCATCCCACATTTCAATAATTTTTTTGTATTCGTCACTGGTTAAGGCTGAAGCACTCACTTTTCTTTTTGCTGAATCTCTCTGTAGTATTTTGCGCTTAGCATCGCGTGCAGCTCTGGCGGTCACAAATTCCACATCAGAAAACGGATTAAATTTTATTTTATATTTTTCGTAATAAATTTCTTGCAACTGCTTAGCAGTAGAGTTCCACATCACTTTGACCACACTTTCCTTATAATCTTCAAAATTTTTCTTTTTCATATTAAATGCGTAGTCCTCCAGTATAGTAGCCAGCTGTACTACACTCATACACTCATGAATATTATACGACTTTTCATCACAAAATTCAACAAACTGTTTCCATACACTTGATTTTGATTTTCGGGTGTTATCTGGTTTTATATTTTCAATTTCTTCTTTAATGACTTGTTGGTTTACTTTTCCAAATCGCGACATTTCGCTATACACTTCTTACTCTACGTACAGACGTTTTAAAACTAGTAATAGCTTAATGACAGATTCGCAAACAAAAATGACAAAACACATAATATGTCAAAAACATCAATACCTTGGCCAACTTAACAAATTGAAATTATTTTAAAATGTCATGTTGGATTAATATTTTTTTTTTCAAATTTAGGTGTGAAATGTTCTTACCGAATACCACGCAAGCTTAAATTATTCCTGGAAATTTTCTTTCGGGCACGAATATTTTAGGAAAATTATTAATAATTTTCAAAATATTCGTGCCCTCAAAAAAATTTCCGAAAATAATTTAAGCTCTTGTGATATTATAAGTAAAAAAATCGAAATAAAAATAAAATTTCTACACCCTGTATCTCCGAAACTAAGTATTTTAGGACATACATTTATACAAACTTTTTTACTTATTTTTATCTGCAGAATATGCTGCCGAAGTTTCCTGAAACAGTTCGGACCACCCTGTATATTATCCTGACAAATTACGTTCTGTCATTGGAAAAGTTATATGAATAAAAATTTTCTAGTATCTTAATATATTCATTTTTGTATTTGGGATACCCTGAATATATTTTACTATGTTCGACTCATTATTTGTGAACTCAATTTTTATAAAAAGGAAATAATTAAACAAAATATTCCTATTTAATTAATAATATATTAAATATTTTTTACATTTTGGTGTACATAATTCTACACGTTTTTTACCAAGCGGCTACAGGTGAGCTGTAGGCCAATGGAGCGGCTACAGGTGCGCTGTAAGCAAGTTGTGCGGCTACAGGTGCGCTGTAAGCAAGTGGAGCGGCTACAGGTGCGCTGTAAGCTACTGGAGCGGCTACAGATTTAGCATAGAGAGGAGCAGAGTAAGCTGATACAACAGGCGCGGAGTAGGCGGATACAACAGGGGCCGAATAGCTGGATAGGACGGGAGCGGCTACAGCTGGTGCGGAGTAGGGAGCCACTGCGGGGACTGCTGGAGCGGCATAAGCTGAGACGACTGGAGCTGCAGCTACAGCGGGAGCTGAGTAAGCTAATGGGGAGCTGATGAGTCCAGCGTTAGCGATGGCCAAAGTGGCAGCGATGAAGAAAATCTGAAAAAGTGTTGAAAGTTTATACATATTCTTGGAAATTTCAAGTTCTTGAACCTTGTATTGAAATATTCTTAAAATCATTTTCTTGGGACACTAGGTTCTGAAAACGCTGCGTTATATTTTGATTTTGTTTAATAATCTTTATTTATTCTATGAACAAACGCTTTGGCCAGCATTACAGCCTTCATCAGTGTTATATATGTGAAGATTTTATCTATGTTTTTAAATTCTTTCTATTCTAAACCAGAACAATAATTTTAATGTTTGTCGTTAAACGTTGGTCGTGTTTATATTTTTTGTGATTGATGTAGAGGAGTTCTTTGTGCTGAAAGTTATGGATTCAATTTAAAAACATAGAAAAAATCTTCACATATACATATAACACTGATGAAGGCTGTAATGTTTGCCGAAACGTTTGTTCGTAGAATAAATAAATTAAAGATTATTAAACAAAATGAAACCATAACTCAGCGTTTACAGAGCCTCATGTCCCAAGAAAATTAATTTAAGTTTATAGATATTTTAATTGTTATAATTTATATTTACATAGAAGAATACTATTCAATTAATATTACAAAATATACCGGGTGCGTCTCGAAAGTGGCTTACTTCTATAACTTTTTTTATTTTTTCAGTTAAAAAACGAGATTTGGTTTGTCAGTATATGACATAAATTGGAGTTGATTGACGTATTCAATTGTTTGTGGTCACTTCCTGTTTCACCGGAAATGACTACAACTTTCGATTTTTGAATGACGCCTTTAGTATTTTTTTACATTATTTGTTAGAAAATAACACTCTGAACAGAATGACATATCACATGTCAACTTTTGACATTTGGTACAAAAATTGGTACAATTACAATTTGGTACTGTATTTTAAATTTCAATCTAGAGTGCTAATCTGTGTTAAAATACTAAATTTTAATCAAGGAACCTTCGAAAAATAGATTTGATCGTCTAATGTTTCTAGCGTCTTGTCCTGATCGGTTAAAAAATGCCTAAATCGTATTTTTAATCATACTCAATTTTTTCAAATGGAACGAGGGTAGCATCTTAGCATATTGGAAAAGAAGCATTTTTTACAAATAATTTGGTGCGACAGACTTGGTATTTCGAGTCAAATTGTCGTTATGAACCGCATGTTGCAATTTCAAATATACCATATTCGAAAATGTTAAAAGTTGACATATGATATGTCATTCTATTCAGAGTTTCATTTTTATCAAATAAAATAACAAAATACTGAGGGTGCCATTTAAAAATCAAAAATTGTAGTCATTTCCGGTAAAACAGGAAGTGACCGAAAACAATTGAATACGTCAATCAATCCTAGTTCCAGATATCGATTTTTTATTTGGGAAAATAAAAAATTTATAGGAGTAAGAGCCACTTTTGAAATGCACCCTGTATAGAATATACCGAACAAGACATTTCTTGAAGATTTCTGTTAATAATGATATATCTATTTAAAATTATATTTTCTTTATTAAAAATAATATTAAATTAACTTGTATTCTAATAGTCTAAATCTTACTTTTGAAAACATGTTGATGTTGTTTAGTTGTGATACTAACTGATGATTCAAGATATCATTGGAGAGTATTTATACACGACTTTTTTAAGAAATCCTGTCCACGCACCCCTGAATTGTTTAATCTAGTTTTTTAGCAAATCTATTTTGTTAAAAAACTAGTTTCGGAAAGGTCTAGGTTCAACGATAAGCAGTAAGTAGGTATATTATTTCTATTAATAACACAGGCCGACATGATTTTTGTAACACGAGTCAGTTGCAGAATTTCTTCATAAAAATATGCTTCTAATAACAGAAAAAATACTCCTGAAGCTCCTACACGTACCACTTTTCAGTTGCCTAATTACGCCTCTTTTTTGCAGGTAGTCAATTTTATAGATGTCAGGTATTAAGTCTAGGTAGATTCGTTTACATACAGGTAAATTTTATGATGGGATGATTGAAAGGGACGCATTTTGTGCACTATAATATATTGTGAAAAACATAAGAGAGTTCAGTTTTCAGTTGATTTTCGACGTGAGTTGTTCTATGCGTGTAGATAAATAGTACGAAAATGTCAAGTCAAACGCGCCGCAGTTGTAAAAGTGTCTCCTGATCGATTTTGTTACATTTGTGGAGAATTTATGGTGCAATCACAAGCCAGACCATTTTCTGAAAATGTGAAGAAAGCCTACTTCAAGTATTTTGGAGTTTTGGTTGGAGATCAAGACAAGCAGTGGGCTCCTCATGTGTGCTGCGTTACTTGTAGCGTGTCGCTTGTGCAGTGGATGAAAGGGAAGAGGAAAAATGCCATTTGCGGTTCCAATGGTATGGCGAGAATAACTAACCATTTTGACGATTGCTATTTTTGCCTGACGAAAACTGAAGGTTTTTCCAAAAAACAAAAGCACAAGATCGAGTATCCCAATTTGCCGTCTGCCATACGACCTGTTCTTCATGGTGCAGATCTCCCAGTGCCGATCGCGCCCTTAGACTGGCAAGGTATTGTTTTGGAAGATAAGGAAGATATTGAATCAAACAGCTCTGGAGACCAGTGTACTGATCCTACCTTTACCCCAGAGGGCGGTTCCGACAAGCCACATTTGATTGTTCAAAGCGAGTTGAATGACTTAGTGCGTGACTTGGGGTTATCAAAGCAGCAGTCAGAACTTCTTGGATCCCGGCTTAAGGAATGGAATCTGTTAGCCAATGAAACAAAAATCACCACTTTTAGAAAAAGAAATGCTCCGTTCTCTGCATTCTACAGTATGGAGGATTCGTTGTGTGCATGTACTGATATCGATGGCTTAATGCAGGAACTTTCTATAGAACATTCTCCCTGTGAGTGGCGCTTATTCATAGATTCGTCGAAATATAGCCTAAAAGCTGTGTTATTGCATAACGGAAATTTAAAACCCTCTATACCAGTTGCCCATTCAGTGACAATGAAGGAAACTTATGAAAATATGCGCATGCTTTTAGATAGAATCAACTACAACAGGTATAAATGGCAGATATGTGGGGACTTGAAAGTTATAGGAATTTTAGTGGGACTTCAGGGAGGATTTACAAAATATTGCTGTTTTCTTTGTTTGTGGGACAGTCGTGCAGTAAATCATCATTATGTACAGAAAATTTGGCCAGAAAGAAGTGAATTTCAACCGGGTTCCCAAAATGTCAAGTATATCCCTCTTGTAGACCCCAAAGACGTCCTCCTGCCTCCTCTTCATATCAAACTTGGCCTCATGAAAAACTTCGTGAAAGCTATGAATAAAGAAGGTGATGGATTTAAATACCTAAGGCAAGTCTTTCCCCAGTTGAGTGATGCCAAATTGAAAGAGGGTATTTTTATTGGACCACAAATCAGGAAATTGTTGGACGACACAAATTTCACAGACACGCTTACCAGGCAGGAACTCAGAGCATGGACCTCATTTGTTAGTGTAGTGAGGGGATTTTTGGGAAACAATAAGGATGCGAACTACGAACAATTGGTTAATGAGCTTTTAGATGCTTATAAATCGCTTGGTGCCCGAATGTCTTTAAAAATTCACTTTCTCCATTCTCATTTGTCATTTTTCCCTGAAAATATGGGTGCTGTCAGTGATGAGCAAGGTGAGAGATTCCATCAAGACATAAGGACAATGGAAATTCGTTATCAAGGACGATGGGATCCAGCCATGATGGGTGATTACTGTTGGTTTTTGAAGAGAGAAGACGCGGTCCCTCATAAAAGGAAAAAGTAAAAGTTTTTGTTTATGTTTTGATCTCGTTTCGATTGTTTTTGTACTTTTTAGGTATAAGTAATGTTTGAGGAGTGTAAACTATAAAATATAATCGGTATATAGGCTTAAGAAGTTCTTAAATCATGTTTTGAATAGCTATCTTAATATATTGAATATTGTAATATTGAATGATGTTTTATTAATGTAACAAAAAAACCTTACGTGTTACGACTTTTTTTTTGCCACTTTCGTGATTAGATAGGTTCATTCTACCACAATATCCTATTGAGCTTTGTGTTACATCGAAAAAATTTTTTTTTGTCGGCCTGTGTAATTAATCATATTAACGATACATAATACTGTTAAATAAATATCAAGTAGATATATAATTTTATAGTAATTAAAATTATCTAAATAAATAAAACAAATAGCAAAATAACTATTAAAATATTGAAACAGTTTAGAGACAAAAATTATACAGAAAATTAATTTTAATGAATTAATTAATAAATAAATTAGATTTGGAACTTTGCCGTCATCTACTACCGTATGATAGAAAAAAAAATGACGTCAGCGATGGCTATGAAATGAAGATCCCTGTCATTTTATATGTAAACTAGCGTGTACCAGCGACTTCGTTCGCGTCGAATTAATCATTTGTAATGGTGATGATAAAGCAAAGCAAGAATTTCCATTAACATACAAACTGGATAAAATTTTCTCACATTTATGTCAGCATGAGAAAAACAATATGGCGATATTATTATATAACTTGGTAATATTTGAGGGGTAGTTTCATCTCGTTGGAATTTGACTTTCGAAAAATCCGTTTGCCAAAAATAAGCTTTTTACGTCAAGCAGTTTAAGCAGAATCGTGATTAATCAATTACCCAACTTTGTGGAACACCCTGTATGATTTTTTAAAAAATTTCAAAATATGTAAAAAAAACAAATAAATTATCCTTGTTCAAGCGTTTTCCCTAAAGACTAACCGTTTTTTAAATAACAAATTATTGTAATATTTGAGGGGCGTTTTTACCCTCTTGGAATTTGAGATTCGAGAAACCCCTGCTTATCGAACTTCTACACCCCACAGTCAATCCGTTTGCCAAAAATCAGCTTTAAACGTCAAGCAGTTTAAGCAGAATCGTAGTTACTCAATGGTCATATTTTATGAAACACCCTGTATAAATTTATAAAAAATCTTAAAATATGTAAAACAACAAAATAAAATATACGCGTTTAAGAGTTTTTCCGAAAAACTCACCGGTTTTTAAATAAAAAATATTTTAATATTTGAGGGATAGTTTCACCCCCTTAGAATTCGAGTTTCGAAAAATCCCT